AAACTCCAAACATTGGGTTGCATACTTCGATAAGCCCGTGAGTGACACAATCATCCAATCGAGTAACGACTAGATGCTAACATTCTCCAGAGTACATATACCCTCGGTCTCGTCAACACATCTTACAATATCGGTGGTATCGTGTCTGGATTCTTCTTTGGTGGACCGATTGTATGTGGAATATCCATCATTTGGCGAAGCATTCATATGTTAACATGACTTAGGCCGATAGACTCGGACGAAGATGGGGAATGGGAATCGGTTGTTTCTTAACTATCATTGCTACATTCGTCCAATGTTTTGCACCAAGAGGAAACTTGAATGCCTTCATCGGAGGTCGTGTCATCATTGGTCTTGGACAGGGAATTGCTTTAAGTATGTATCAATCAGAATACTTTACGAAATTACATCTAACAATAGTATAGCCGCCGGACCAGTTTACATTGGTGAACTTGCACCACCCGAGATCCGTGGTAAAATCATGGGTTTCTGGCAATTGTTCTACTCAGTCGGTTCTTTCATCGCCTATTGGATTGCCTTCGCCACTGGAAAACACTCCGCTGCTCTCGGAGATTGGGATTGGAAAACAATTGTCATTTTCCAAATGATGGTTCCAATCCTCATCTGTGTCCTCCTCCCCTTCATCCCCGAAACTCCTCGTTGGTACATTTCCCACGGAAATGTTGAAGGAGCTCGCCATGCCCTTCTCCAAGTCCGCGACACTGAACAAGAAGTCGAAGATGAACTCCTCCAAATTAGAGAAGCGCTCGAATACGAAAAAGAACAAAAGTCAACCAGCTCTTACAAGGCTTTGTGGATGGATAAATCCGTCCGCAAGAGAATGTGGATTGCTTTCGTCATCAACGCTGGTCAACAACTTACTGGCCAGGGTAGTCTCAACAGTTATTCCTCAGCTATCTACAAGGGAATCTACAAAGATGCCGAAACTATCAATCTTATCAACGCTATCAACGGTACCTGTGGTATTATCTTCACTCTCAACGCTGTCTGGACCGTCGATCGTTATGGACGTAAATTCCTTTTCATCGTCGGAGGATTCGGAATGGCTCTCTGCATGATCGCTTTTGCCGCCGTCGGAATCGCAACACCAGATTCATACTATATGAACGGAACAACGAAAACTCTCACCAAAGATCAACCCGTCGGAATCGCACTCACATTCTTACTTTTCTTGTTCATCTTCTTCTATAAACCTACTTGGGGAGCCACAACTTGGATTTGGACCTCCGAAATCTTCAGTATGAATGTTAGAGCCCAGGCCGTGGGTATGTGTAGTCAATGGCAAAACGTGTCGAATTTGATTTTCAATCAATTCTTCCCTGTTTTCTTGGAGAAGTGCAGTTTGTAAGTTTCTCTCCCTCGCACTCTCTTATCTTTGAAATAACTAACATCTCCTCTTCTAGCTACACATTCTTCTTCTTCGGCGGTATAAACTGTCTCCTCGCCCTCTTCGTCATTTTCGTGGTGCCAGAAACCAGAAACATCATGTTGGAAGAGATGGACGTGCTCTTCGGAGGCGTAAACCATATTGAGAAAGGAGGGGCGCAGCTTGGGATTGAGGATTCCCATCATGCGCATGTTCAGCATGTTGAGACCGAAGGCGCGGATATTGCGGGGGTGGAAAATGAAAATGTCGTTATGCATGAGAAGGTTTAGATTCTGAGATGTTTATTGAGTTTTGGGATATGAGTCGCGGATTGGTTTGGTGGGTTATATCGAATGGACTCATGTGGTATGACTGGCTTGTACCTACCTCCCTATGATGAGGAATTAGTTAATATGAGATGCTGCTCAGTATTTATGCATTTAATTAAAGAGTTTTGTCTCTAGTTATTTTACGCTTTTGTGCAATACTGAATGTTGTATGTACTGGCGAAAGACTGTATGTTGTTTAGAGCTCTCGGACATGAGATTAGGTTTGGGGGTGTAGACACCAAGGAGCATTTTCTCGTAAATACCCAGACACATTTTCCCTCTGATTTCTAAATTGTCACTGAGCCATAGGATCACATAATATCAAGGAAGTACATGATCTATCACAGAAAGGGAAGAAAGTAAAACAATTGTTGGCCCAGTTGTTTCTCGCAAGCTCTAAAACATTATGGTTAATATTCAATGTCCGAAGAATATCGCTCACATCACATATTATCTATTCACAAAATGAAATCTTCTAATGATTTGACGCAACATGAGGATTGATATTGGATTCTTTGTTTCTATCAAGATTCTAGAAATATATGAAAGACTGAGGCTTTCGTTTCTCGTTCGAGCTAATCTTGATCTCTGTATATATTACTGTTCAACCTCAATTCTTACTTATCCGCAATTAAATAATTCAGAGCGTATTGGTCCTCATCAATCGGAAGACCAGGCTTGAAAAGAGTATCAAACTCCACGAAGCTGAAATCCGCAGGTACGGTACCCGAATCCCCATTCCCAGTCGCATAAACTCCGAGCATCATTCCTGTAAATGCAGCGCCTATGGGCGGATCGGCCGTTATTTCCTCAACTATTGTTTCGCCCATCCATTGTATGGCTTTTTCATTGGGTTCATCGCATGGTTTGAAGCCGAGTTTGTATCCTTCGTCCGTACACCAAATGTACAGCGTTACATCGTCTTTGGTTTTTAGCTCTCCGAAGCTGTGGCCTTTGGCTTGACCGTTGATGAAGATATGAGTGATTACTTGTTTGCGAGATTCTTGTGGAGTGCCCTTGATTCCGATGTGGGCGTAAGTCAAATGGTTCCAGTATACTACAGTTCCTGCTTCCATATGGGTAGAAGTAGGATTGAAGGAGAGTCGAGTAGACCAAACTCCCACGCGAGATGTTTGTTTGCGAAAGAACACAGTAGGGCAAGCTGGACTGCCGAGTGTGTATGGACTTCCAAACAATCGTAAGCTAGATGGATTGGTAGTTATCTCGAAATCTTGTTTTTGGGGAGTATCTAAAGTAATAATTAGCATGTTCGATTGAGAATAGGCATTTAAGCATCGAGTGCCATAGATGCACTGAACTTACTCTTTCGATACCACCCAAGTTGTAACTTTGGACTCGTAAATTCATCACGCCACTTGGCAGATTGTTGGATCTGATATAATCCTAAGCCCTCGCCTTGAAGGGTAATTTTCTTGCCTTCGTTTACAACTGGCCAGTCATTCTCCCACGTCATAGGTACGAGAAAAGTCTCTCTTCCTAGATTTCTGGATTAGCTGATATACATTCAGACAGCTAAATTTCTCCTCTTACCAAAAACAGAAGATTTGACTCCATCAGCTAGTATTACAGGCCGACATGCAAGCAGAACGGCCCACCAATTCCCTTCTTTATCTTCAACAATATCAATGTGGCCTGTGTTAACCACTTCATCACCTTCAACTCCGATTTTCCATAATGGAGCATCGATAATTTCCCATGGTCCGAAAGGTCCAGCTGATGATCGTGATACCCATTCACAATGTCCCGATTCGGTGCCGCCTTCAGCAGTAAATAGATAGTAGAACTTCCCTCTCTTGAAAAGATGGGATCCTTCTGCAATGCCTGACGGAGAAGAGCGAATTACCTGGGGAACAGATGTAGAAACCCCGGTGGAAATATCAATAGTAGTGATGTGAATGGCAAAATCTTTGAGGGGCTTTTCAATTGTACGCTCATGCTTGCGTCTAGTGGTTGACAAATAGACTTTTCCGTCATCGTCAAAAAACAGCTTCCATGATTGTTAGCGTCCAAATCATCATACTTTCCCTTCCGGGTGACAGTAACAAATATCTAAGCTCAACATGAGCACTTACGTCTTGATCAAACCCCACTTCATCAAACCAAACTGGTTCGCTCCACTCACCCCCGAAAACATCTTCCGCTTTACACTTAACATAAAATCCTCTTGGCCAAACCCTCTGATCTTCTTGTGGTCTATACCTATCAAAACACGCAGCTGTGATATAAAACCAGCCATCATGCTCCCTGATAGTCGGAGCCCATATTCCACCCCCAGGTTCAGGGGTCCGAATATCAAGCTGGGAACGACGGGCTAAGGCGTGGGATATGAGTTTCCATGATATCAGATCAGTGCTGTGATATATTGGTATCCCGGGAAAGTATTCAAAGGAAGATGTGATGAGGAAGTAATTGTCGCCAGAGCGGATGATGGAGGGGTCGGGATGACTTCCCGGGAGAATAGGGTTGGTGTAGGTGTTGGGTTTGGTCATGATGAACTCGGAGTATGGGGAAGCAACTTCAAGATCATCCATGAGGCTCAACTTCAAGGCGTGAGAATGTAGTTTCGAACAAAGTCATTTTTATTTGAAGTGCCTGCATTCTGGTATCAATGTATCATGCATGCGGCCACATGGATTGAATGGAAATTAATATAATTGGTGGATCCTAATTCTCCCACCGCAAACTAGCGTAGGAACTGACGGCTGGAGCGTGCATTAGTTCCCGTGACTGTTCAAGTCTGTTCTGTCATCAATCTTACAACAAACAGTTGGCGGTCAGACTATTTTTCGAAGTTTCTCTGAGCATTTTGACATCAGTCCTTTCAATATCGGAGACATCGAAAAATTCCTCGGATTCTAATGTGGTTCCTCAATTCTCAAGTGAAATAGCAGAGCATATCTCGTTATTGACAAGCGTGTTCATTACTTGGCGTTTCGAGAGCTATTTTCCTTCAATATTAGCCTGTATGCTCTGAAAATCTTCAATCTAGGCTGATATAATTAACTTCTCCTCTCGGGTGGAGCTTAGATTTGAATGGTGGTAGATCTACTTGGTCATACTATAGCAGTGGCCAACATGGACATCAAGACTCCTCTCTCGGTGGAGTCGGAGTCCGAAATGCACGTCTTCTCCTTCCCAGGGTATGTCTAAGAGGTAGGAACTTGAGATTTATGAAGGAGATCTCTGGCTTTCCCAATTCCCATTCTCTCCTCGTATTTCGTCCGTACTCTTCTCATATCTGCAAAAATTGAACATACGCAAAAATGCATCTCAATCCCCGTCCCTACAATATTCTCTCTGTTCTTTTGCTCTCCTCATTTCCCAATCTTTCTTCCTGTGCTGAAGCCGTATCTTCAACTCTTTCACGCCCAGAGATCATCGTTGCACCCATCCAACCTGCCAAGGCTCACTTGGCAACTACTGCGCTTTCTACCCCCCGAAATCGCACTTGCCATGTCTCCTCCTTGGGCTCTGGCCGCGATGATTCTCCCGCCTTACTTGCCGCCATCAAATCCTGCAACAACGGTGGAGTTGTCCAACTAAATGAAACTCTCTACACAATCTCCACCGCGCTAGATCTTAAATCTCTTCAAGCTATTGACTTCAACATCTCAGGCACCATTCAATTCTCCTCCAACATAGCCTATTGGACTGCCAATAGTTTCAAGTATGCTTTCCAAAACAGCAGTGCCTTTTGGCAATGGAGTGGAAATGATATCAATTGGTATGGGGGAGGAACCATTGATGGGAATGGGCAACCATGGTGGGATGCCTTTGCTAAAGATAATACTCTTGCACGACCGATATTGTTCGTCATGAATGGAGTGACAGGAGGAAGTATGAGCGGGTTGAAGATGAAAAGTCCACCGAATTGGTTCAATCTCATCACGGGCAGTCAAGATGTGCTTGTTAGTGGGATGACTTTGACGGCAGTGACGAGTAATTCTAATCCGGTTAAGAATTCTGGTGGGTTTCCCCTATTATTTACCGACTTTCATTCACTTTTTGGTGGATATATTTGACTAACGAGTGCTCAAAGATGGCTGGGACACTTACCTCTCTTCCCATATCACAATTCAAAACTCAACCATCCTTAATACCGACGACTGCGTATCCTTCAAACCCAACAGCAGTTCCATTATCGTCCAAAATCTTGCATGTACAGGTTCTCATGGCATATCCGTTGGCAGTTTAGGACAATACGTTGGAGTGACTGATATCGTTGAAGATATCTACATTTATAACAATACACTAAGCAAAGCCAGTGATGCGGCGAGAATCAAGGTCTGGGCAGGTGCAGTACCGAACTCAGATGGAAGTCTACCTTATGGGGCAGGTGGAGGTAACGGCGTTGTGAGGAATATTACGTATGACAAGATGACGGTTTCTAGTGTTGATTGTAGGTTTCATATTATTTTGTCCGAGATTGGGTTATTTTCTTTACTAATTGGGAAATGGTAGACTCGATTGAACTCACTTCTTGCTACATGCAAACTACTGCAAATTGCAACGCTTATCCTGTGAGTACTTTACTTCATCATCCTCTTTGTATCTCACAAGAATCACAAGAACAACTAGCTGACGATTCTCCCAGACGAAAATGACAATTCAAGATGTAGTATTCAAAAACTTTGTTGGTGTCTCAAGCACAAAACATGACCCTAAGGTCGGAACTTTGGTGTGCAGTAGTGCTTCTGTGAGTATATTCCTTGTATCCCAAGTCACATACTTCTATCTCAAGAATTACGACCCTCTTTTCAGTGACTCTAGACTAACGAGAGAAGTCATGCATCAACATCGCAGCTCAAAACATCAATATCACCACGCCGAGCAAGAAAACTGCAACATGGACTTGTACGAACGTGAATAAGACTTTGTTAGGAATCAATTGTGTTTAAGGAATATTGAAATACTCGATCAGGTGATAAGGAACGAAGAAACAGTACATTAGTTGTTTAGTAGTGGTTGTTGATGGCCGAAATATGTTCTCCGGCAGGAGGTTGGTTATTATGAGACGAGATCATCGTAAATCAATGACAATGAAAATATCAGACACAACTTTGACTATATGACAATATCAACAATGTGTATCGAATATATGTAATTGAACAGAAGTTTTGAGAGGTGGAAAATAACCAACAGGTTTATTTGACACTGCGAACCATGAACCACAATGTCATTTCAGGATCGAACACAAGGTATAGCTCACCGGTAGTATATTATTTGAATTTAGCGAGAATCGAGATAAGAAAGCGGTGACCCCAACACAGTGGCAGAAAAGAAGACTTGCATTTTACCCCTCTAAAATATTTTGAAGAAGTTCGTCATAGACATCACTAAAAACACTCGAAAAATTATCAATATGCCGACCGAATTAGAAGAGGTAGAACTCAGCTCCTATTCTTTTCATTCAAATCATGCTAACTATTATTGAAGCTCGTCGATTTTATATCGCATGGAAACACTCAAGTGCGGACGATCGGTATGTTTAAGATATTTGAACCACCCGCTCAAACTTCGACTGATTTGCGCCAATACAGCCGTCGAGAATTTGATTCCATATTCATTATCGCAGCCTTCAATATTCAAGACGAATGAGCTTCTACCAGTAAAGGATTTAAAATTACTGGTCCGCGACTACAAAGTACGACTGAAACCTCGCGAATATCATCGTTAGTAGAGGCGCAACTAACGCATGTATAGCAAATAGCCAAAGATGCAATGACAATTCTCATAAACCTGTCGACAGACAAGGAAGTTTTGGAATATCTTGCGAGTGATAAAGAGTTCATCAATACTTTATTCAACAAATTGACAGTATGTCAATCTCCTACCTTGATCTTTGAATCGACAATATCTAACAGCTCTTCACTCCTAGAACCCCGCAGAACCAAATGCAAATCTCATTGCTATGCTATTCGCAAATCTCGCAAATGGATGACCTGAAGGAGATCATATTTCTTGAACGTCCTGCGCCGAAAGAATTGACCTCGAATAATCGCGCGATCGATCAACTGATGGACCTCTTTGTGAAGGGTGCAGATGGAACATACAATAAAGAGGCTGATTATGACTACCTCGCATATTTGTTTGCAGATCTAGCCAAGCACGAAGAAGGACGAAAATACTTCCTGACAAAACAAGAATACGATGGGGTTGTACCTCTCACAAAAATGACGGTTTTCACCGAACACAAATCAGACATTCGCCGAAAAGGAGTTGCATCGACGATAAAGAATGTTGCGTTCGAAATTGAATCACATCCTTCATTCTTGTCAGAGGATGAGATCAATATCTTACCATATTTACTGCTACCTATTATGGGGAATGAGGAATTCGATGAAGAGGAAACCATGGCAATGCTACCAGATCTACAACTATTACCACCAGATAAGGAGAGGGACAGTGATCCCATTATCATGCAAACACATGTGGAAACATTGATGTTGCTCACAACCACAAGAGAAGGGAGAGATCTTATGAGGGAGATCAAGGTTTACCCAATCATAAGGGAATTGCATTTGAAGGTTGATCACGATGAAATGAGAGAGGCCTGTGAGAGACTGGTACAGGTTTTGATGCGAGATGAGGAAGGAGAGGAGAAAGTGGACGCAGGTATGAAGACTTTGGCTCGAAGATCTGACAAACCTTCCTCCTCGCCAAAACCATTCTCATCGCAGTCAAATGGTATCGCAGGAAGCTGGGCATCACAAGATGCAGAGGACCCTGCATCAGATTCGGATGATGATAAGATAGTAGAAGTATAGATTTAAAATACTGAATACAAAAAGTTCATTTCCACATTTGTCGTACCAATGTCATCTCACATTTCATTCGAACACACCAAATGCCCCCCATCCCCCCCAACAATACCTTTCCTCCCAAACCACCCTCTCAACTCAAGGTAAAACTATTACTAACCGCCGTGAAGGGACTAATCGTACCCAAAATATTCTTCGAATCCCCATTATACCTAACTCTATAGGTGCCCGCCGTTGTTCCATCTCCAGTTCCCGTCTCCCAACTCACAACCACACTACTAGTACCCGTCAAGCCGTTAACTCTCGTCCAAGTATACACCAAATACCAATCCTTATCATCTCTCACTGTTGTCCAATTCCCGTTCGAACCCAATTGTTCAACCGCCGTGAATGTACCTTCCAATCTTAAGTTGTTGCGAGGATTAGCTCCCACAAATGTCGTGTTTACTACAGATCCGATCTTGTAGGATGCAGCTGGCTGTACGGATACGCTGCCAAATGATCCGCTATCATACGCTACCCCGGTTATAAAACTTAAACTCGAGTTGACGTTGTTTGGTGGGCTGGGTCCCGGGGCAGGCTGACTGGTATTAGTAGCGGAGAGATATCCAATGGCGGATGCGGTGAGATGAATGTAAGCATCTAGTTCATGTTGGCCGAATAAAGTTGAAGCACCTTCGTAGCGTTGGATGGAATATTCCTCGGGGGTGGCGAGATAGTGAGCGTATGTGTTTGCGGGACCGCCGAGAACTACTTTGGGGGTGGCGGTGGTTATTTTGGAAGATACGGCTGCGGCGGAGATGGCGGATTTCCAGCGTCGCCCGGACATGGTGGTTGCTTCGGAGGGGGAGATGATCATTATTAGTTGTCCGACGCGAAGGAGTTGCACGTCGACTTGAGCGAGTTAGCGGGTTAAGGCAAGTTTGGTGATGTGAGGGAGATGGGGTGAGAAGATGATGTGAGATAAATGTTGAGAACTGAGTTGAGAAATAATTTACCGATATTGGGAGACCAAGCATAAGGACTTGACATCTCACCCACGTCTAGAAGAACAGGCTTGGGATATTGACAAGCGACCTGAAGATGATTAATAATAGATCTATAGTCAACGCCCATATGACTGGGAACATACCTGTTGAGCAGTTGGTACTCGGAGAAGACCAGATACCAGACTCCAAAGAGGATTTGAGGGTGCACCTGGATCATTTTGTACAAAGTCAAAGGCTCCCGGTCCATCGGTTGTACCGGCCGCAAACGAATATCCTAATGCTGCAGGGCATGTTTGGACAATCGATCCATTTGCAAGAGGGAAGTCATAGTATTGCATATCTTGGAAGAAATGGAATGATTTGACACTTCCTCCCACGATAGGAGTACCGACCGAATCCAATGTGTTCTATAAGTATCAGAATTTGAGCAAATTACTCTTGACAGAGGGAAGAAAAGACTTACATAAAGAGCTTGAGCTCCGGTAAATTGTCTCTGTCCAATGATATAACAACTCTGAGTTCCCAAATCTAATGCTTGAAACGCTGGGCCTCTACCATGACATGTCTCAGAGATACCGGCACAAGTACTGTTCTCTAGGGTACATTGTTGACCAGAGCCATCGTCACACCAGGCGCCAAGAACGTTTGGTGAGGTGTCTCCGACGCTTGACTGTGAGAAACCAGCGACGAAACCTGGAGCGGCTTTAGGGTCTTTCAAGGCCGCTTTCTCGAATAGATAAGCTGCCACTCCTTTATTATCGCCTGAATTTATAGTGCTTAGTCAGAAGATGTATCTCTCATAGGGAATCTCTGAATGACTTACCAGTAACATGTGTGTTGTTTTCCAGCATGGAAGTACCATGAACACTGAACCATGTTAAAACGCCAATATTCAATCCATCTGAAGCCCGCTGGAATCGAAGCATAGATAATGTCTTGTCAACATTATCCGTATATAATGCCCTTTCCGTTGCAGGGTTGGCAAGATATGCGTAAAGACTACGGTTGATATTTGCATCTGTGATGTTTGTGTCTCCGGTGGTTAGATATCCAGTAGTGAGCGAATCATGGGCCCTCTTGATCGAGAGAACTGCGCCATCAACAATTGCTTGATAGCTTTGCTTATCGAAACCCAATGAAGTGATTTGCGGCAAAAGATAATTGTAGTATGCTCCAGGACCAGAATGTTGATGTGTTCCTGTGACGGCAATATTGTTTTGCCCGTATATTGCATATGCCGGCCCCAAGGCAGCTAATCCTTGAAGTATTCCATATCTGATTGCAGTATCCCCAGATGCTGTGTCGAGAACTAGGTAGACAAATCTGTTGGCAGGGGTGTTTACATCACCGACAATAAAGGCTCGGGAGTAAATGCGTTGACGCAGCCCTGTTCCGACTTGTGGGAGACTAGCATAGCCCATAAAGTTTATTTCAACAACAGGACTATTGAGTGACATCAGTATAGCAGGGGAATGTAGGAACAGAGTTCGAGTCTTACCCTGTGATATCAGCCTTGCCGACTCCAATGAGATATGGGTCACCCGTTGCTCGAGTTTCGTGTTCATGATTATTTGCCCATCCAGAATTGGTATTGGAAGACTCGTCGATTGGCTGAACGTCTTCGATCTTTGCAAGTCCCACAACTAATGCAGTAAATGCAGTGAACAAAACAAATCCAGCCAATGTCAACAATATTGCACTTGCTAGAGACCTTTGGCGAGGAGTTTCGGGTCGCTCATTGTCCGACTTTTCGTCGGCCGCAACTTGTGAATATTCAAACCTCGACATGATCAATGATCAAAGTGCGAAAGCGTAGCAAGAAAAGAAACATAAGTAAAAGGATGGTAGCAGGTAGATGGTATATCATCCAAAAATAATAATCATATCGGTGTGGCTCGCGTGGTAGCATAATTGTTACACGTGCCATTTTTTGACCATGCAGAAAAACATTTTGATTGAAGATTCTCACGGAAGTTTGGACCGATGAAGTACTCGTGCATGGTAGTTTTCAATCATGATAGCATTGCTTGTACCTCAATGTAACGAGGGGCTTGCTGATCAATTTCTTCTTCAGTATCATCACCCGATTGCATCCCCTGACGAGCCTTTGTACAACCTATAGTTTCGCTTGAATCTTAGGAAGTCAATTAAACTTGCTACTGCATTGATGATGCCTGTCCAATAGATAATGCGGGGGATTAAGCCTTCATGGTTTATCTCGAGTCTTCTTCGCAGGGGAGCTCGGGGAGCCTGTTCTTGATCATAGACTGTTAGATTTGGCAGGTCGTTGATTTAAACCCCTGACCGGCTGCAACCACATTGGCTTCTTGGCATATTTGTATCGCAACTTGAACATGGTTGATTGATACCAATATTTCTTGCCAAGGTACCCTCCTTCTGCGAGAAAGGGGGGGTTTTAGGCTGAAAAGTAAACGTGAAGAACTCATTTCTGCAATCCATTTGTACAAGTTCATAACTTTAGCGTAATAGAATTGAATTCATAGGATATTAGAATAAATGTGCCGCAAGCCACACAACCTTCGCTAGCACTTAGATTCCTCACGCCTGCTTGATATATCAAAGTATGAGTTCCACGTGAGCGAAATTTTCCCATCTCTGAGAAAGTAATCGATGGCGATCTCATAAAGAGATATGATGAGAGACGGTATTGGAAGGAGTAGATAAGGATCAAATTGATAACTGAAGTGAAGTGTGCATGATGTGCATGTGCGTGTGTTAAGCCTCGGCTGCTAGGTTAACCGATTTCCCCACTATGTGCACGTCCCTACTACGTGCACGACTTTGAAAATATCAACATTATGGCTTCAAACATCGATGATATGCCTTTAGAGGCTCGTATAGAGCTTGCATTAGATCATTTGAAAGGGGTTCAAGCTCCTAAATACACCCAGACAGCTAATTTCTTTAAAATTGATCGATCCACGCTCTCCCGGCGGCATAGAGGTAAAACCACCTCGAGAAAACAGTTCCTCTCCGATACGAAACAAGCGCTTTCTAGCGATCAGGAGGAGGTTTTAGTTGATCAAATCAACAAGCTGACACAGAGATCTATCCCTCCTACAAGCCGCATAGTCAGAAACCTTGCAGAAGAGATCCTAGGCAGAGAGGTGGGAAAGAACTGGACTAGCAATTTTGTCAAGAGGCATTCAACACGTCTTAAAAGTCGGTATCTCCGTTGCATTGATAATTTGCGTGTGAAAGCCGATAATGTTGCTATATTTGATTACTTTTATGATCTGGTTTGAGCTATTTTCTATTGTTGTTGATCTTTATTACCTAAAACGCTCTTGCTAATGCCCCTCTTTTTTTAATTTAGTTGATAAAAGTGACCATAAAATACGATATACGGCCGAGAGATATATACAATTGGGACGAGAAGGGCTTTATGATCGGTATGGGGAGGACTATGAAGAGGATAATGAGTGCTAGCGCCTATAATAGAGGCAGAGTGACAAAAGCTAGGCAAGATGGATCAAGAGAGTTTATCACCCTATTGGCAGCTATATGCGCTGATGGGACAGCTCTCCCTCCCGCTCTTATTTATAAAGGAGACTCAGGGGATCTACAAGATACATGGGTTCAGGATGTAGGGGAGAAGGATAAAGCCTATTTTGGAGCCTCAAGCAATGGGTGGTCGTCGAATGCTTTTGGCCTATATTGGCTTATAAACGTATTCGACCCTGCTACACGTCGAAAAGCAGGTGGAAGATATCGTCTACTTATTGTCGATGGTCATTCTAGTCATGTCAATATGGAATTCCTTTCAAAATGCGATGAATTAAAGATTATTGTCTTAATTCTCCCCCCTCATTCTACACATCGACTACAGCCTCTCGACGTTGGAACCTTCGGTGCCCTTTCGACGAATTACAGTACATTATTGAATGATTTGATGCACAATAGCGGGGGGATTGTTGGTATGACAAAGCGCATGTTTTGGGGCATATTTAAAAAGGCTTGGGAGCTCACTTGTACGAGGCATAATATCTTACGATCCTTCGAAAAAACGGGCATATATCCTATGGAATAGGAGTCTTACGATCGACTGTATTGCTCCGGAAGCTCCTCTTACGCCACCTACATCATTTAAAACTCGCAGGGATGCTCTTGCTACACCGTATACGTCAAAAGCGATGCGTAGAATGAAATTAGAATTTCGTCGCGCTCCCACCCATGAGATCACTTTAAAGCTTTTTAAGGCTGCAACTACATTAGGAGCTGAAGCTTCTATACAGGGGCATAGATCTAAAGGTTTAGAAGAGGCTCTAAAGCTTGAAAAAAGGAAAAGAGCTCGTTCAAAGCGTTTAAATCTCATTGGAGAGGAGGGGAATGGTGCGTTTTTTATGGTCACCTTCTGCTATTATTAAAGCTAGAGCGTATCAAGAAGATAAAGCACTTAAAGAGGAGCAAGAGAAGGAAGCTAAGCTTCAGATAAAAGCTGAAAAGAAAGCTGAGAAGGAAGGAAGGAGATTGAGACGAAAGAGAGGGTATTGCAGAGGGAGGTTGATCGTCAGATTGCACGTGATGCGAAAGAGGAGGTTAAAAAGACTCTAAAATCAACAAAATCTCCAATCAAAAGAGATAAAAAGTTCCCCAAAGCTTCTTCTACTATAGATCTAACATCGACAAAGACTATAGAGCTTTCTGATGCTGTAGAGGCTAATAATTCGAAGGGGAAGGAGGAGGAGGTCATATTGCGATCTAGTAGAGGGCGAGCACTACGAGTTCCATCGAAATTCAAAATCTGAAGATTTTATTATGTTTTTAGATAGTATTGTATCTTATCATTTATCAATTAAATTGCTAGCTCTTTATCTTATAAATTGGGAATTGTTATTAATTTTTAAAGTTATTCAAAAAGGGTGATCGAGATCGTGCATATAGCAGGGACGTGCACGTAGTAGGGAAATCGGTTAATTGATTGATCTCGTGACTTTGACTGACGTTCTCGAGTCCTTGCAGCCAACCTCGCCAACTTCGCCAACTCTTCGGATTCCCTACGGAAAATACACTTTACAGCGCAGAATTCGTAAATATACACCCAGGGAGTGTCAATAATTGTTCCTCAACGAACCGCCCGGGCCGATCTATATTATCACAAACTTCAGCCTCAAGCTGGGTTTCAAAGCTTCTAGATTGTAGACAATTAAGTCGAAAGACCTACCACGATGGTCAGAATTATCAAACCGTTTAGCACAAGAATCGGCCTAGTCCCCTTCAAAATCCACACATCATTAGCTCGAGTTGGCCATAAAGGATTGTTTCTCTATCGAGTAATTGATCCCGGAAATATATTTCGGTCGAAGCTGTCACGGTGTATTCAAGAAACTGTGATAAAGAAAGCGGAGTCGGAAACCTTTGCATCTCCATGTAGCGGCGAAATTATTCGCCTAGATGCTGCGTTTCAATTGCGGAGCCTCGAACAAACCAAAGGATCACATTAGCTATACTCCATTTGTGTGTGTAGAGATAAGAAAGTTGGCAAAGCCCTCCGTGAGTTTAGAATAAAGGTACCAAAGAAAAAAGGTATGTGAATGATGCTAGAACTGAGTTCGAAAGATAATCCCTCAGAATTCTGAGGTTGACTACACATCCCATGCCGATTGTGTCACTGCATGTCTGTCTGATCTGCAGAGCGCCTATACAAGCAATGGCGAGGATCGATTCGCCAACTCAAACGGAGATACATTAACAAGATTCGATTCTGGAAAACTACCTCAATCACTATTCAAATACTTTTAAAGTGACTTCGATGGTCACACTCAATTGGCAGCACACTTGAGACTTGTCAAACAATTCCGGATCATCTGAAATTTTCAGCAATGATACGCTATTACAATAACGTTTCCTGTTTTGGAAGTTCCATTGTCGCTTTGTTATAAGAGAAATTCCCTGCTGCCACATCGAAGCTTTGGTAGTTCAAATTGCTTTACATTTGTTCATTTTGCAAGATGCTACTACGTCATTATCATGGTTGGTATCATTGATATATTTTATTAACATACGATGCCTAGATCTCTAGTCTCTTGGAATTCTGGAAAAGAATTAGTAAATACTTGTAGAACAATGTTCTTCTCAAAGATTGTTTTTTTCGATAATGATTGTATTGTTCTTCACGCTTCGCTTAACGAACAATACTAAGGGGAAACACCACGATTAGTCCTCGACTAGAAGTGATGTAGGTCTGATTATTATTGCAGAACTTTGGACCATGGTGGTTGCAGTGTTGCTTGATGTCTTCTGTCCATTCTGCAACAAACCTTTCTGATGTTTCAACACCATTTGTCGGACGCAAAATTTATTTCAATGACAATATTGAAAGGTAAAGGCTCGAAGAGTCACAAAAATCATAGTCATTCTACTTCTACATCACGCATCCGACTGCCAGATGATGACCAAAATTCGTCTATTGAATTGCGAAGTATCAATGACTATCAAGCCGATGAAGACATCAAATCATCTTTCAAGTCCCTATTCACATTTACGACAAAAAAGCACATATCCAACATAGTTCCATGTATATTATTTGCATCATTAGCGGCGTTCTCAAACCTATATCGGCAATATTTTACGGAAATATCTTTGGTACTCTTACAAACTTTGGGGCTGGTGTTCTCACAGCAGAAGAGACCTTACAAACAAGTCTCGAAATGGTGCATAGCTATAACTATTCTCGGAGGCGCGGTATGGTTGTTCGAAGGTCTGTTTCTGTGCTCGTGGATGGTGTTTGGAGAGCTCCAGGCTAGAAGCGTGCGCGAAAGAATGTTTGCCGGCATGTTGGAGAAGGACTTGGAATGGTTTGATCTACGTAAAGATGGCATCGGATCATTGTTGATTCGAATTGAAACGTATGTGGAATCTATTCACTGTTGAGTTTAAGCAATACTGAAATAACAACAGCCAAATTCGAGAGCTCCAACTATCCACATCCCAGCCTCTTGGGTTCCTCCTGTTTGAGACTGCCAGCGCATGTGCAGCTCTTGGGACTGCCTTCTTTTACTCTTGGAATCTGACTCTTTAATTATAGTGACATTTCCAGTCGCCGGTGGAATACTTTATCTGATCTCTAGAAAGATGGGTCCAGCAATCGAAGCTCAGAAAGTGAGCTATCGCAAGCTTCGAATTCACAAATACAGCGATTACAGCTATCGATACTGTCAAGGCATTCAACGGACAGGACCAGGAAGTTTTGGCAGTATTTATCAGCAATTAACGATCAACAATCCATTACATGATCCAAGCCAGGTCAAATGCATTTCAATTTGGGATTACGAAGTTTGTCATGGTGGCTATCTTTGTTTCAAGGCTTTGGGTATGGTCTCACTTGGTCGATCATGGACTAGATGCCGGAAAGGTTCTTACAACGTTTTATGCTTGTTTGACTGGAATGATGGCTATAGAAGTTGGTTTAACCACAATGGCTTGTCTTGGCAAAAGGAATGTCCCGCTGGAGCGACTCTCAAGTCTATCATGAATCAAGTGGATAGAGGAGGGGTTGCACAGTATACAGAGGGATTAATGATGCCCAAAATTTGCAGCGGTGATATAGAAGTCAATGATGTAAGTAAACATGGCCACAGTAGACCGCCAAAACTGATTAAGATTAGGTTACATTTGCATATCCTTCCAATCGACAACATAATGCTCTTGTAAAAACAACATTCTTCTTCCCTGCTGGCGAAACTACTTTCGTAGTTGGTAAAAGTGGTTCTGGGAAGAGTACATTAGGAAACTTATTGCTCAAATTCTACGAACCACAGGAAGGGAGTATCTTGATAGATGGCCAACGTATACAAGATCTCGATACCGATTGGCTGAGACGCAACATTACTCTCGTACTGCAGCAGAGTGTGGTATTCAACGAGACTGTTAGGAAGAACATAGAGTTTGGCAAGGAAGGAATAACCAATGAAGTTAATATCATGGATGCCTGTTCTGCAGCCAGTCTAGAACAAGTAATTGCTGACCTTCCTGATGGACTTGATACTCTGATCGGTTCTAAGGAGAGACAACTAAGTGGTGGACAGAAACAGCGTGTTGCATTGGCTCGAGCTAGATTACGAGATGCACCAATTTTGATTCTCGACGAAGGAACTAGCGCCCTGGATCTTACCAATCGAATCAAAATCATGGATAATATTCGAGAATGGAGGAAAGGAAAAACGACAATCATTGTGACTCATGATATTTCACAGATATTAGATGATGACTATGTTTACGTTATGGAGGAAAGTAGAGTTGTTCAGGAAGGTTATCGTAGAAAACTTTCTGCGAAAGCTAATGGTACTTTCGCTACATTCTCGCCACTCCCGGAATTGCCTGTGGAACAATCGATAGACCTTTCTAACATTAGAAGAAACTCGGACCCCGAAACACCATTAACCGGAAGCTTTGAAGACTTTGTTCAAGAACTGACACCTCGTTTCTCCACACAGTCTACACTCTATGGCCCAAATGCAGCAGACCGTAGGTCCTTGGATATATCAAATAGACGATTGTCTCTTGGATATGCTTCAATAGCCTATGCAAATGACCTACAATCAAATAACATTTGGACATCAGGGACTGACAGTTCACGTTCAAGGCTTGATGGTTTGCAGAGACCCACCTCACAATTTCAGAAATTCAAAGCGTCAGATAGTCGGCAGTCCAAACATTCTATTCGGCCGCCAAGGTATCAAGACGCAGGATTCCAGTCGATACCAGAAAATCCCTCAGGCAAGCCAAGTTTTGATAGAAGCTCTCTGGTTCAACGCCATCTCAGCTTGGTGTCAACCAAGACGAATCGAGACTCTAAAGTTGTGCCAATCGATTCCTTGTTGGAATACTCAGATGACTCCACCGAGAATGCGGATGAATCCAAAGAGATGAACGAAATGGGTCATCTCAAACCCGATACTTTAACTAAGATCTTGAAGACTGTTTGGCCAATGCTGAACAGAAAAGAGCGCATAATTCTCTCGGGTGCATTTGCTGCAGCATTTATTGTGGCCGTATCAACCCCAGCTTTTGCCATAATATATACCAAACTTCTCGACACTTTTTACCAAAAGGAGAATCGAAACTCGAATGCTTTTAAATGGTCGCTTATCTTACTCGGGATAGCTATCATTGATGGCATAGCATGCTTCTTTTCGCACTATGCTCTAGAACGTGCCGGACAAGCTTGGGTGAGTGCTCTACGCGTAGAAGCATTAAAAAGAATTCTCGCACAACCTAAGTCATGGTTTGAGGAATCCAGAAATTCTCCTGGTCGGTTGAACGAGGTCTTGGATAGGAACTCTGAAGAGATGCGTAATCTCGTTGGTCGTTTTGCTGGTATTGTATTTACAGCATTTTTTATGCTATGGATATCAATCATATGGGCTTTTGTGAATACATGGAAACTCACATTAGTCTCAATGGCAACTGGCCCAGTTATATACGCTGTCACCAAAACATTCAATCGCGTGAGTGGAAAATGGGAAAACAAATGCAACTACGCTTCTGAAATGACAACCAGCATATTTTCAGAGACTTTCTCTAACATCAAAGTGGTTCGGGCTTTTACTCTGGAAACTTATTTCGAGAAGAAGCATACCAGAGCTACAGAAGAACTTTATAAAGTTGGGAGAGTACGAGCAAACTACTCGGGGTTACTTTGGGGACTTACAGATGCGATGTCCTTCTTCATCACTGCAACTATCTTCTATTATGCCACGGTTCTCATTACCAAAAGAGAGATTAGTATCGCGACTGCACTACAAACCGTCAATCTTCTACTGTTCGGCATTTCAAATAGTACGAATATGCTGGCTATGATACCACAAATAAACTCTTCTCGCGTTACAGCTACGCATATGCTTGAGTTGGCTAATCTCGATTCATCTTCCTCCCATGAAAATAAAGGAAATGAACGACTTTCGACAATTTTTCCAATCAAATTCAATCGCCTCTCATTCACATATCCTGCTCGCCCCGAAACAAGAACGATCTCATCCTTTTCTCTTTCCCTAAATCCTAACTCAACAACTGCACTTGTCGGAGCCTCCGGCTCCGGAAAATCTACTATAGCTACTCTGCTTATTGGTCTTTATCCACCAGATACTTCAACACCACCCCCGTTGACATTCAATCGAGTTTCTATAACCAACTGTCACATTCCGTCTCTCCGAGCTTTTATCTCACTGGTCCCACAAACACCGATTCTATTTCCCGCCACTATTTTCCATAATATCATTTATGGTCTCCCAGAATCTTCTTCCTGTGCTAATCTTCCATCTGCTATTGCATCAGCCAAAGATGCTGGGGTCCACGAGTTTATAACGTCGCTTCCACAGAGTTATAACACGATGGTAGGAGATGGAGGGCAAGAGTTATCGGGAGGACAGGCCCAGAGAATTGTGATATCGAGAGCGCTGGTTAGGAAACCCAAGTTATTGATATTAGATGAAGCGACGAGCGGATTAGATGGCGGTAGTGCGGAGGTGATAAGAGAGACTGTGCAGAAGTTGAAGAAGAGAGAAGGAATGGCCACGCTGGTTGTAAGTCATACAGCTGAAATGATGAAGATGGCGGGCCGAGTTGTGGTGATGGAAGAGGGGAAGATAGTCGAGAGTGGTGGTTTCGATGAGTTGAAGAATAGAGTTGGTGGGAGGTTTGGGGCTTTAGTTGGAGATGATTCAAGGGATACTGCGGCGATGGAGGAAGAGAATGATATTGGAGAGGGCAGCAGTAACGCTGGTGGTGGTGCTGATAAAGAAGGTGGGTTAGGTATTAGGATTCCTGGTTACGAGGAGGTAGAATTTCACACTCGAAGAGATACACCAATTCGAGATGCAAGAAGGAGAGATACTTGGCTGCGGCAAAAGAACCATTGAGATGCGATTTCACTGACTATCGTTATCACAATTTCATAATTTGACAAATCTAAATTCGACCATTTGTGTTCACACTTTCCTCTTGGTTTCTGCTAGAATAGTTTGAAGCATATATCTTGCATACAACTCTCCTTAAAGCTTGTCCATACATCAAGAAAGGAAAATAAAGATAAGATTACCCCAACATGTTTGCATTTGCTTGATGAAATGATCGTTTTTATCAATTATCTGATTTCTATCATCCTTTTCATCCGAAAATGTTAGTGTTCCCGTTCCCCAAATTAGCGATGCTCACTAGCTGCGTGAGTTACTGAAACGGGATTTAACAAGCAGGGAAACGAAACATAGCGCAACCTCCCAGAATAATGTGATGGTTCCTACCAGGCAGCAAGATTGATACAGCCATACCCTATTTTGAACATAGAAATTAAGATCTCCCAATATACTCCTTCAGATCAAACCAAAGTGGGTCATCGTGCAATCCTAACGACCGACCTTAACAGCGATATATACCTTGATTAGGGTTTGGCTCGCGAGAGGATTTGGCGATCTTAATTTGAATTTCGCTCTCACTACCAAAGCTTTCAGGATTGTCAGTCATTCCGCGACATAACTTCGCTATCAATATTATAATGGGTGATGAATGGCTGCAATATATTGTGGGTAGCAATGATGTCGTTAATTTATGCGTAACCGCCGTAGGGCTGGATGATTTTCAAAGGGGGAACCAGTGGGTGTACGGACTGACGGGACACTGCAGAAATGGACTTACGAATATCCTTTGATATATTCCGATATCAAAAAATCAAAAAATGAATTTGTTATAGGTTTCCATAGATGGGAAGTGTCCGTCAATCCATGCACCCACTGGTGGGGGCAACAAAAAGAAAGAATGTAAAATTGCAACTTCATTAGATATACAACAAAAATCGCGATCTTTTACTGGCATGAGTTGAGTGGTAGCGGTTTCGATCATAGGTGCTCTGAGTACCTTCGGAGATATTCATACTTGTGGCTTGTGGCTCTGTAAAAGTTTAAACGCTCGAATCGGTAGTCTTACAGCGCTAAATTCGCCTCAACGGTGGCTTCGAGCGTATAACACTAATTTGACATAGCCGCCCGCCAAAACTCTCGAGAAAAACTTAACTTGAAGCCATGAACTTATTCTCATCTTGCTATCTCATTTGTTTATCTTACGACTTGAACTTTGAAAATCACAGTTGATACGTCACTCAGGACCGAATTCTACCAAATATCTGATGCATGTCTGCAGTGTTCCATAAACAGTGATTTAACCTGTGAACTTTTCAAGATCACCATGAGGTCCTTTCGTTGCCGTGGTTGGATAGTGTTACATCGGAAAGAGAGACGTTATCCGATAAACCCCACAATTATCCTGGTATATACTGGAACCAAGGATCAGGAGAACAATCGGCAATACTACAATGAGGTCTCGCGTCTTTCGCACGTGTGGCTCAGTAGTAGATATTGAGGTTCACAATTACTACTTGAGTGTTGTTGACGTTCTTGAGACTAAGACCATCTAAAAATGATTCACAGTACTATGGACTATCAAGTGACGATGTCATTGGATAGAGTACATGATCAGCACCCTAAAACACGCCTCGTTCGATAGCTTCGAATTTAGTTTAGGCCAAATATAGAAGAAAATTGGCATGTTGCTTCTACAGCATATGCTAGTTGCACAATGGTAGAGTAACACCACTTCCAATCACCTTCCTATTTTTACCATTCACCAACTTCATCTCCTATAGAAGTCTTAGGTCGTACTGCGTCATCAATTGCTATATTTCCCCCAAGAGAGTATGCAGTCTTATATCTCTAGTTTATCCATGCGCCCAACATTAGACATAGCCTTTCAAGTGGCCTTTATCAGACAACCTCCACAACATCCCATTCTCGGAACATTATATGCTAGCGCTGTGGAGTTCTTATAAGACCTCTCAAGGTAACCACGAAGTTTCTCCTTCCTCTTTTCAAGCTATTCATAGCGCGTCGACGAATTATGAATTCAGTTTTGATCATTTCCTTTCTCATACTGGACATTGTCCAAGCCCAAACCGATTACTCACAACATGTGAATGTGTTGTAAGTTTACAGGGCTCTTTCGATGCAGATAGTCTCTAACTACTTAAGTACTGGAACACAAAATGGAGGAAACGATTTCCCGGGTGTTGCTCGACCTTGGGGAATGGTCAAACTTGGCCCCGATCTTCTCATTCAGGGTACCGACTCATACTCTGGCTATCTTCCTAATGGAAATTTCTCTGGCTTCAGTATGATGCATGAGCAAGGTACTGGAGGTGCACCTAAATATGGAACGGTTGCCCAATTACCTTTGGTTGGAACAATCACCAACCCTTTATCAAGTATCACTGTCGGCAGAGCAGTTCCTGACCAAGGCTCTGTGGGTTACTATCGGGCTCAGACAAGTGATAATGTTGTTGTCGAGCTTGCTGCTACATCACACGCTGGACTCTACCAATACACGTTTCCTCCCACAAGCACCGGGAACAACATTCTGATTGATGTTAGCCATGTGGTGCCATCTTTCAGAGGCCAAGGTTTGAGTCAAGCATACGATGGAGGAAGTTTTCAAATATTTTCAGATGGCCATTATGAGGCATCTGGTGTATACAACAATGGGTGGAATAGATCTCCTGGTTGGACGATATATTCATGTAAGTCTAATTTTTATGGTACGATTTCCGATCTAATCAATTTATCAAGGTGGCTATTTTAACGTAACACCTTCTGCATCGAATGTATACACCAATACTGGTACTGGTAGTGTCATCCAGCCTAGCAAATCAGCTACTTCGGCTGACTTGAACACTGCCGTTGGCGGGCTCTATACATTCAACACAACTGCTGTTGCATCAAGAGTTGGGATTTCCTGGATTTCCAAGGAAAAGGCGTGCCAGAATGTTAACAACGAGATCCCGAATGATTCCACATTTTCAAATGTCGTTTCTGACACTAAATCTGTTTGGAATGATGAAGTTCTATCAAGAATCACAACTACTTCTACCAATGCGACCAATCTTGGATTGCTATATACATCCATGTATTTCATGAGTCTTCTTCCAACAAATCAAACAGGAGAAAATCCAGGATGGACTTCCACCGAACCATATTATCAAGACATATTCACTCTTTGGGATTTATTCCGTTGTGGTACAGCTTTACTTCACGTCCTTCAACCCACTGTCTATGAAGAATACATTCGCTCCTTGATTGATATTTGGCGTTTCGATGGCTATATGCCCGATGCTCGTTCTTCGAATTATAATGGTCGAACTCAAGGTGGCTCCAATGCTGATAATGTCCTCGCTGATGCTTATGTGAAAGGTGTAAGAGGTCAAATCAATTGGGATGATGGCTACGCAGCCATGGTGAAAGATGCTGAAGTCCAACCTAACAATACCGTTCCACCTGACCCAATGGCTCCGGACTCATCAACAAAAGAAGGACGAGGTGCTCTACCTGATTGGAAACAATATGGCTATATCACTCCGACATATAGTCGTGCCGGTTCTCGAGCAGTGGATTATGCATACAATGATTTTTCACTTTATCAGGTAGCAAATGGATTGGGAAACACAGAAGATGCAGCCAAATATCTAACTCGCTCACGAAACTGGAGAAATCACTGGAATCCCAATTTGATTTCTATCGGATACTCAGGATTTGTGGCTCCTCGCACAGCAGCAGGTTCTTCAACACCTTTTGTTGCTGTGGATCCGTTGACTAATATTGGATACTGGGGTGATCCATTTTATGAAGGTAGCTCATGGCATTATTCTTTCGGCGATGTTCATGATATGAATACTATTATTGAATATATGGGAGGAGATGCCACATTTTACAAGAGATTGGAAACGATGTTTACCGTTGGCGCGAATCCTAACAACCCAGGAGGTATAATCTTTGATGGCACAAATGAAGTGTATGTATCTCATGATCTATATCAATCGAAACAAAAACACTGAAGCGACTAACTAAAAAAATTCAGTACATTCAATGTCCCCTACCTCTACAACTTTATCAACAACCAATCTCGCTCGATCTACCAATCCCGAAAAGTAGCCAAAACCTACAACCTCTCTCCGACTGGTCTTCCCGGCAATTCGGACGCAGGAGCCATGCAAACATGGCTCATATGGAATATGCTTGGTCTTTATCCCATCACCGCGACCCCCAATTTCCTAATCACATCTCCCTGGTTCGAATCCATAACTATAGATTTAAGCCCCAGCGGATCTTCCGCTAGCAATCGCAAAACACTCACCATAACCAGTACAGGCGGTGACGGGAATGGGGATTCCAATTACTACGTGCAGAGTTTGAAGGTGAATGGTGTTGATTGGAATAAGAATTGGGTGGTCTGGAGTGATATTTTTGAGGAGGGAGGAAGCATGGAATTTGTGCTGGGGAGTGAACCGAGTGGGTGGGATGAAAATGGGGAGAGAGTGCCTAGTCCTGCTTCGGAGACGGCTGCAGGGACGAGGAGGTTTAGAAGAGAGATCTGAGCAGATCTCTGGGGAGTTTAGATGAATGTTGGGTTTCTTGTATATATAATTATGCGTTTTAATCACACCGTGGGCTTGGAGTCTTGATAATGGGATGGAGTGGCCCGAGTGGATGAACATTTCGTTGGTAGCCGTCTTTTCACCCTTTCGTTTCAATAGTACATTTTGTTACTTTCAAATCATTCCCACAGTCTTCTGAGAGCAGATTTAAATTCCCTTTTTCTTCTTGGGATACAGGTGTAGATTTTCTAGAAAACCTCACATCAAAGGTCATTTCGGAAGGGGGTAGGAGTCTTGGCATTGAGCAATGACTAATCAGAGCAGCGACCCCACCACCCCGATCAGTGCGGATTTCAGTTTGAAACTGCAAACCCTCATACATACCTAGTTTATTGCTTGAATATATCGCACGTTGATTGGAAAATTCTTCTACATAACCTCCTCTAT